CAATGCTGGTGCCACGGCGGATGCACCTCTGAGACCGAGGCTGTTGCTAGCGCTCCGATCAGGCAATGATACAGTGATCCCCGCCTGAACAATGATTCCTATCCTTCCTGGCCCTCGTCTAATAATAATATATAACATTATATACTCGGTGTACCTACCGGCTGATTACTTATGTTCTGCTGTGGATTTTTTTTATATGGCTAAGATAATATTTTATATTGGGTAGAAAAAATTCTTCGATATCCATTTCTTTCATGCGCCAATAAATCCATGAATAAGTTCCGCTGTATCTCCATATAATCCTGTACACACAGGTTCGAGTATATATGTAAATATTAGTGCCTGTCACATGGATAATACTACGTGTCTTAAAAAATCTCTCATAAAATTTTAAAACAAAGTACGTTATACTCACCGTATAAATATGTGTGTCTTTAGGACTATTCCACACAGACATATATTGTAGAATAAGGTATCCACTTGAGTGCATGTTCCAAGATGTTGAATTAGGTGTTGTAATTCTTAATTTCGACATATTTTTCAGGTCAAGGCAACCAGTGGTGACACTTTTCTTAGTGGTGCATAATTTTATGGTGCACCTCTTGACTATCTGAGTAAGGGTAAGTTAGCACTGCAAAGGCTTAGAAAAGCTGTCGAGAAGGCCAAGATTGAGTTTTCCTCCACTATGCATACTAAAACCTATGTCCCCGTTTATCATTGCCGATGCTTTTGATACAAAGCAATTCAACATTACCATGATCAGATATAAGTTTGAGTCTCTTGTGAGCAATCTCATAGAGGGACTCTCATCTTTTATGTGATCTGCCTCAAGGATATTGGCAGGACAATGGACCCATGTTGGAATGTCGCATCAAAAAGTGTCCACGTTTTGTCCACGATTTATTTCCCATGAATACATGCAGGTACTATGATAACACTAACTACACCAAATGAAAGATTAGAGAGAATTTTATTGCCTCCGTAAGGATTTATTTATTAAGTTCTTTGGACTCTCTGAGTAGTTTTGAAATATCTGTTTGCATGTCTTACCTCGTTTCCTAATTCAAAATTTTGTAGTTTAATTAGAATATGGGGAAAGGATTCAAAATGAACAGACCCAAGGGCAATTTCAGCAAGAAACAGCAAGCGGGGGCGATGGAACACGTGAGCGTGAAACCAAATAAAAAGAGGAAAAAGTTGTCCCTTTTGCAAATGCAAAGAGGGAAAGTAATTAAATATAACATATTTGGCAAGGTTCTCAGAAATGCAAAGAGGTTTCTTTTGTCTTAAATCTCTTTCCTTCTGTGTTAATTCTCTTTCCTTTTGCTCGTTGCCATGTATGCTGGTGCATGCAAACATGCAATGTGTATATGGATAGCACAATAATTTTCTACTTCCTATTTTGCCGTGATTTCTCTATCACATGACAGACAATATTCAATCAAGGAGAATCGTACCAAAGGACGCAGCATGCGGGAGATGTCGTGGGATCGCAGGCATGGGCAGACGGACGAACCAAAACAAATGCCGCACAAAAAAATGTCTACACTTTGTTATTTTTTTTGTTGCAGGAGATTTCCGGTAGTTGAGTAGAGAGAAAAGCGGTGAAGTGACCCCTGAGCAGCGGCAGAGCCGCCCCATGCCGCCGAACGTCGTCATAGGACCGGATCTGGTCGCTCTTGCTTAGGCCCTCGCCGGATCCACACGCTACCCACTAGCAAGGTTTTTAATTTCGGTATCGCCAAAATTTTGGCCACCCGAAATTACCGAATTTCGCGAAATTCGGCCGAATTTTCGCCGAATTTTTTTTAGAGATTAGCACATGAAGTATGTTTTTTCTAAAAAAAATTGGATCTAAACAAATATTAGTATGATTTATGACTACATATCTATTAAATAGAAGAATATGTAATATAAACAATAGAAAAATATAAGATTAGAGTTATATAGCACATGTATTAGTGTATTAAAAATTTTCGGAGTTTTCTTTCGGCCACCACCGAAATTACCGAATTTCGTGAAATTCGGCTGAAATTTCGTCGAAATTTTGAACCCTGCCCACTAGCATAGCATGGGTTGCGAATGCATCGCGAGGCTCCGTCAAAACACACCAAATGAGGAAGCCATGGGAGAGATGGCCCCTCCGCCGTCATCCTCGCAGTCCACCGGGCTTCCGGCCAGCAGTTTCGGCGTCGGGGGAAGCAGGGATGAGGAGGAGGTGGTGCCGGCGGTGGGGTCGGGGGTGCCGCCCGAGCTGCCGGCTTCAACGACCCGGGCGTGGTGGAAGACGCAAGCGCCCAGCAGGAAGCAGATGGATGGACCTCTCTGATCTGGCACCCACCAGTGGTCGGCGCTATCGATCGTTGCAAACTTGCAAACAGGCAAAGACAATCCGCCTGACGACGACGCTGATGCATATACCGTCGAGCCTGACCGCGCCTGCTGATGCCAATTGCCAAACCCGCGCGCGCACGGCGACCGGGTACACGTACACGTCGAGGCCGCCCATGGAGGATCCCATCCGTACTACTCTCCTAGTGCTTGCCGCCCGAGTTGGACTATACTCCGTACTACTCTATATATTCACCTGTCATTTGCTGCATCATCATGATCGATTCTCTCGCTCCGTCCTTCATCTTCTCTTGGGAGGAAGACCAGGCCGGGGACAGGGACACCGTGCAGCATCGAGAGCAGGCATCGCCGTTAACAGTATGTCACCTGTCACCTGCTGCCCATAATTTTTAGAATTGCTTTCTTCCAGCACTCTTAGCAGCTAATCCGATGGATCTGATGTTGGGTAGTGATATTTTTGGGTTTTTTTTTTTAGAGTATATATATGCTCACTCTTAGTCAAGTGTTTTCCAGACTTCTCCACACTCTGATCGCAACAAATCTGCTCGCTCAGTCTTCTTCAACGTACTGACTTCCACCATATAAGAAGCAATGGCACCTTCACAGATGAATCTCTCTGCCGTCCTCCTAGTCGTCGTCCTCCTACTACCCATCATCATGGCAGCTCGTGGTATGTATGGGTGCACATGCATGAACTACATGTTGCAAGCGGCGATGTCATTTGGTTAATCTTTTGCTAAAAGTTGTTTGATGCACCTTCGACATTTGTTGCATAAATGTCCGTGCCTGGATCTGAACCATGCAGAGTCGGCGTCCTCCTGCGCCGAACACCTGAGCAACAATTATGAAGGAGTATGCATTGGATTGATAGACGACGACACCTGCAATAGTGTATGCATAGGCGAACGCAGCGACAACTTTCAAGGCTTCTGTAACCTTTTACAATGTTGGTGCAAAGGCAGATGCACCTCTGAGACTGAAGCTATTGCTAGCGCTCCCATCTGGCGATGATACAGTGATCCCCGCCTGAACAATAATACGATCCTTTCTAGCCCTCGTCTCTAATAATAATATATAACATTGTATACTCGGTGTACCTACCGGCTGCTACCTTATGTTGTGTCGTGGACTTGCGGGATATAGATGAAAATCAGTTTTATGATATATGTAGTGTATTCCAGAGTGCCTGTAACATAGTCTAATATAATTCTTCTTTGGTCTCAAATAAACAAGTTAATCAATAGTCTTCCACTCTTCCACCAATAGAGAGCGTTTACCCTTCCAGCTACTTAAGTTTTTTTTTTTCTGAAATTTCTCCTCTACCAATCCTTATTATAGAGGTTGCGATGATACATAGGAAATGCCTAAGTATCCAAAAGTAAAGCTTGAGTTATGCGAACCAAAAAGTTGAGCATAATCATGCTCACTTTAACTACGCTAGAGTCAAAGTATTTCGATCCCTTCTTCTCCTGTAAAAGCGCTCTCGTCTTTTCTCCTCAATGCGCGCTTTGATCTCATCAACGAGTGACGGGAAGCTCTGAATCAGCTGTAGGTACCCTCCGTCAAGACCACCTTCTTGAAGTTCTTGTTGTCGACGAAGAACTCGAGGCACTTGTTATTAAGCTCCGGGCAGCCGTGCACCTCGGCGCGGATCGAGATGGCACCGACCTTGTCCACCGACAAGCGGCATGTCACGCAGCCTCTGCGCGATACAAACCTTCAGCATGTCCACCGAGTAGCGGTCGCCCGCGGCGCGCGCGCGCCAGAAGAAGTCCTCGGCGGCGGCGCTTCGCCGTCGACCTCCATGCGGGCAGCGTGTCGGTGTACATGAACCGCAACATGGCACCGAACGTCTCGGGCTCGATGTCGCGCGGCGTGACGGTGGGCGTGGTGGCCTCCGCCATAGAGTCGGCGCAGACCCGCCAAACCGCGGGCGTCGCGCCATGAAACACGGCTCGGTGCGCGCGGAACGTCTCCGATGGGTGGCGAGGCTAAATCGCGACGTCGGGCGGCGGCGGCGGACCGATCGCCGGGCGGCGCCGTGCGGGACGATGACCCGCACCACGAATGTCACACACGGCCGTCGGGCGGCGGCGACTCGAGCTCCAGGTCCCTCCACCGCGCGAGTGGATCCACCCCCACGCCACCGAAGCCCTCCAATGGTGCGCGCGTGCACGCACGATTACTCGTGCACCGTGACGCGCGCGCCGCCATCACATGCGGGAGGAAGGCGTCGAAGACGGCCGTCACGTTGGTGTCTGGCGGGTCACTTTGTTGAGTTGTGATTCAAATTCAGTTATGTTCAAGATAAAGGCTAACTTTTGACGGAACAAAGCGACACCCGTCATTTGGGAGGCTTAGGCCGACGTTTGTAAATCCCCGACGTTTGTAACCTCAACCGATATAGTGAAGATTTGTTGGTCGGGTGCCCGTGGTTTTTCCCTTCTTCCTTGGGAGGGTTTTTCACATTAAAATCTCGTGTCCCCTATATTTGATCTACTGTTCTTCGTCGTTTATATTGCCTATCGTTTCTAACAAGTGGTACCAGAGCTTGGTTTCACATTAGGGTTTCGCGATGGCATCGATGAAGTTTGATCTACCGCTCTTTGGATTACAAGAGGCGAGATTTATGCTTGTGGCAAGTCAAGATGTGGGCGATTCGGCACAATCTTCGGATCTTGATGAGGTCTTGGATGGTTTCGGAGGCAAAGGGCGAAGTCATGGACCGTCAAGAGAAGCGGAAGGATCGTAAGGCTCTATCTCCGATTCAACTTCATTTACATAATGATATTTTGCAACAAGTGCTGCAAGAGAAAACTGCCATAGAACTTTGGCTCAAGATGGAATCGATCTGCATGTCCAAGGATCTAACCAGTAAGATGCACGTGAAGATGAAGTAGTTCACGCACAAAAGTCGCAAGAAGGTGGTTCGGTGATGAACCACTTATCGATCTTTAAGGAGATTGTTGCCGATCTAGTGTCGATGAAGGTAAAATATGATGATGAAGATTTAGCTCTTCTACTGTCATGCTCACTGCCTAATTTGTTTGCAAATTTTTAAGATACCATACTATTAAGCCGTGATGAACTAACCCTTGCGGAAGTATATGAGGACCTCCAGACGAGGGAGAAGATGAAAGGTATGGTTCAGTCTGACGTGTCGTCCTCCAAAGGCGAAGTGTTGTAGGTTAGAGGCAGGCCCGAACAGAAAACCTACTACAACAACAATAATCGAGACAGAGAGCAAGAACCGTAAAGGCCGTTCGAAGTCTAGAGGCAGTGATAAGTTCTGCAGGTATTGCAAGAAAGATACTCATGTCATTGATGATTGTTGGAAGCTGCAGAATAAGTAAAAAAGAAACGGTATGTATCAACCGAAAAATAAATCCGATGGTGATGGTAAGGCCTCTGTTGTCTTCGCTGCTGATAATTCTGATTCAGGAGACATTCTTATTGTTCTTGCTGGTTGTGTTGCTGGTCGTGATCAATGGATACTTGATTCTGCATGCTCGTTTCATTTATGCTCTAATAGAGATTGGTTCAATTCTTATGAGTCTGTGCAGAGTGGAGATGTCATGCGTATGGGAGATAACAACCCACGTGAGATCATGGGCATTGGCTCCGTTCAGATTAAGATGCATGATGGCATGATACGTACACTGAAAGATGTGAGACACATACTAGGGTTGGCCAAAAATCTGATCTCCCTCAACACACGTGATGCCGAGGGGTATAAACACTCTGGTTCAGGTGGAGTGTGTAAGGTCTCAAAAGGCTCTCTCATTCATATGATAGGTGATATGAATTCTGCAAAGTTATATGTTCTTAGAGGAAGTACTTTACATGGTTCCGTCACTGCTGCTACTGTTTCTAATGATGAACCAAGTAAGACTAATCTCTGGCATATGCGTCTTGGGCATATAAGTGAACTTGGTATGGCAGAATTGATCAAGAGAGACCTGCTGGATAGCTGCATTGTGGGTAAGATAAAGTTCTGTGAGCACTGTGTTTTTAGTAAGCACAAGAGGATAAAATTCAATGCATCTGTTCATATCACCAAAGATACACTTGATTATGTACATGCTAATTTGTGGGGGCCATCTTGTAAGCCCTCTTATGGTGGTTCTCGTTACATGCTTACCATTATTGATGATTACTCTAGAAAAGTGTGGCCTTATTTTCTAAAAAATAAAGATGATACTTTTGCTGTTTTTAAAGAGTGAAAAGTTATGATAGAAAGGCAAACTGAAAAGAAGATAAAATTGCTTCGTACTGACAATGGCGGTGAATTCTGTTCGGATGCTTTTAATTATTACTGCAGGGAAGAAGGCATTGTCAGGCACCACACCATCTCGTACACTCCTCAACAAAATAGTGTGGCTAAGCGCATGAACCGAACCATCATCTTGAGGGCTCGTTGCATGCTGTCCAATGCTCGTATGAACAGGCGTTTTTGGGCTGAGGCTACTAACACCGCCTGTTACTTGATCAACCGGTCACCTTCTATCCCACTTAATAAGAAAACTCTCATTGAGGTATGGTCTGATATGCCTACTGATTATTCACAGTTGAGAGTTTTCGGTTGCACTGCTTATGCTCATGTTGATAATGGAAAGCTAGAACCTAGAGCCATTAAGTGTCTGTTTCTTGGTTATGGTTCTGAAGTTAAAGGATATAAGTTATGGAATCCTGAAACTAAAAAGACTTTCATGAGCAGGAGCGTTGTTTTCAATGAATCTGTTATGTTTAATGACAGCTTGTCCATAGATGTTTCTCTAGTTGGTTCTGATTAGGAGCAACAACATGTTAGCGTGCAGGTGGAGCACGTAGATGATCAGAAAACTAAAATTGTTGATAACAATGTTCATGATATTGCTCAGCACCCACCTCCTGTTTTGCAGTCTCAAAATCAGTCTATTGCAGATCGCAGAACAAAGAGGAATTATGGATCTCGTCCACGTTTAATTGAGGAATGTGATATGGTTCATTATGCCTTTAGTTGTGCTGAACAGGTGGAGAACATTCATGAGCCGGCTACGTACACCTGAAGCTGTTGTTTCTGGTGACCGCGAGAAGTGGATTTTTGTTATGCAAGAGGAGATGCAGTCACTCGAAAAAATGACACATGGGATGTTGTGCGCTTGCCTAAACATAAGAAGGCCGTTCGTTGCAAATGGATCTTCAAGAGAAAGGAGGGTTTATCTCCCAGTGAGCCTCCAAGATTTAAGACAAGGTTAGTAGCAAAAGGTTTCAATCAGATTCCTGGTGTTGATTATAATGATGTGTTCTCTCCAGTTGTAAAGCACAGTTCAATTCGTACATTTTTCGATATTGTTGCTATGCGAGATCTTGAACTTGAGCAGTTAGATGTAAAGACTGTATTTCTACATGGAGAGCTCGAGGAGGAGATATACATGGACCAGCCAGATGGGTTCATAGTACCTGGTAAGGAGGATCATGTTTGTAAATTAAAGAGGTCCTTATATGGTTTGAAACAGTCTCCTCGTCAATGGTATAAAAGGTTTGATTCTTTTATGATGTCATATGGTTTTAAGAGGTCTGAATTTGATAGCTGTGTGTACATTAAATTTGTTGATGGATCGCCTATATACTTGCTGTTATATGTTGATTGCTGTCAAGAGCAAAAAAGAAATCAATATATTGAAGAAACTGTTGAGTAGTGAGTTTGAGACGAAAGATTTTGGTGCTGCTAAAAAATTCTAGGTATGGAGATTACAAAAGATAGAAATTCTGGTTTGTTATTTCTTAGTCAGCAAAGTTACATTAAGAAAGTTCTTCATCGTTTCAACATGCATGATGCAAAGTCTGTTAGTACTCCTATTGGCCCTGTTCGCTTGAAGGAATCTGGAGAAATTTGTGAGAGAAAAACACTGTTCTGGATAAAAAAAAGAAGCGGATCAAGCCGGGTTTAAGGGCACGCGAAATGGGCCATTGCTCCTCATTTTAAATTATCCGCTTTACAATGTGCTAGTACGGATGAGGATTTCGAGTATATGTCAAGAGTTCTATATTCTAGTGTCATTGATTCTTTGATGTATGCCATGGTTTGCTCTCGTCCTGATTTATCATATGCTATGAGTTTGGTTAGTAGATACATGGCTAATCCTGGTAAAGAACATTGAAATGCTGTTAAGTGGATTCTCAGGTACCTTCGTGGCACAATAAATGCTTATTTACAGCCTGTTCGGGAGGCCGTATCGTATACATTGTTCCCGGCTGGAAATTAATGATCGTTTACGAGCAAGCGAACATGCTGTTAAAGTTTGGCAAGACTGATAAGGGACTCACTGGCTATGTGGATTCAGATTTTACTGCCGATTTGGATAAGAGTAGATCTCTCACAGGTTATGTGTTCACTATTGATGAGTTTGGTAAAACTAATAAGGGATTCACTGTCTACGTGGATTCAGATTTTATTGCCGATTTGGATAAGAGGGGATCTCTCACAGATTATGTGTTCACTATTGGTGGTTGGGATAAGAAAAAAAGTTGTAAATCTCCGATGTTTGTAACCTCATTCGATATAGTGAAGATTTGCTAGCTAGTGCCCGTGATTTTTTCCCTTCTTCCTTGGGAGGGTTTTTCACGTTAAAATCTCGTGTCCCCTGTTTGATCTACCGCTCTTCGTCGTTTATATTTATAACAGTGACGAGCTCCAGGAACAGTGACAGGTAGTCGCCCTGTCGTCTTTGTTATTGCCTCGCGGGTAGCACCTGATCCGCCAGAGGTAGCCGCCGGCGGAGAAGTTTTGGGAGTAGATGACGTCGCCGATGAGGATGTTCTTGGCTTGCGAGTAGTCGAGCTTGAGCTCGAGAAATCCGGAGCCCAACATCTTGTTGCCAAAATTGCGTACGCAGCATTGGGTTTGTTGCACGAAGAGAAAACCCTGTTCTCCTTGTCTTAGTCTTAGCTTGTTTTAGTTTATTCTTTCTCATAGAACACTATTGAATCAGCCGAAATCGGCCGAAATAATCCACGTAATGGATCAGCCGAAATAATATATATTACTCCAACTTGGGATCCAAATTCCCGTGAACGACGTTTCGGATTTAGAACCTGTTGGATGTGATGAACTCGGAGTCTCTCTCGGACGCCGCCGAGGAGCTGCGTTCTGAACACCGGCGCGGTGACCACGGCCCGGTGCGCGCGGAACGTCTCGGCGCCGACCGGGAACGCTGCCAAAACACCATCCCTGCAATCTGCATGCATACGCCTCAGCACAAACAGCATTGTGCACAGCGCCCAATCTTCCTCTCTCTCTCTCTCTGTTTTTTTTTTTGCTCTTGAATTGTGATGGAAAAAAAAACTCCTCTTCATTTTCAGAACTTCAACAGGTGGTGGACGCCATTTTTTAGGGGCACTTACATTCCTTTTCTTATGTTCTGATTTGAGCCAATGGAAATCAGAGATTAAAGAACTCACTTTGTGACCAATCTCATCGCAAGATTTCATTGTTTTTTCTCCAGGATTAGCCTTGTTATATATAACTTACAACCCACCTAGAGCAGAATATCACAACTTGTAGTCTTACAGATCAATAAGTTGCAACTGAATCTGTTCTACATCCAGTAATCACCGGCACTTTTTCACCAATGATATTCATTCTGCTTGGAAGACTATTTTGTGCCAACGCCCACAAAAATCGTTTGACTTTCGGCCCACGCGCACAAGTGTCACATCGACACTAATCAAGAACTAATACGTGATGCAAAGTGGATCCCGTTTCCGACAATCTTCTTGTATGTAGTGTATAGTTTGGTATGTAGAGGCCTCAAAACGCTTGAATTCACAAAATGTAGATGCAGAGAATTCGGATGCCTGCCACCACTCCAGCAGCATGCAAGAATCTTCCACATCTCGCATCATTTTGACGTAGTCATTCTACAGCTTTACAGAATATATATAAGATGCATTTTTATTTCATGCTATGATTCGGGGGATACAAGAAAAAGTATAGAAAGCTAAACTGTTTTGGGAATGAAGAGCGACAACTCCAGATATCAAAATAATATAGCATGATTTATAATTTTGTGTGTCACGAAGCACTGAAATTAAGTAATAGAAATACTTCATGCACTTCACATAATACTGGCGATGACACAAATTCGAGCACTCCTTCGGCATAACATAGAGATAGATGTTTGTTCATGAATCATCATCATTCATTTACGGCTGGACTAGCCTTGCTCTGATCTCCTCGATAACTGACGGAAGCCCTGTATCAGGCGCGAGTAGCCCTCTGTCAACACCGCGCTCTTGAAATTCTTGTCCACCACAAAGAAGTCGATGCACATCTTCTTCAGCTCCGAACAGTTGTGCATCTCAGCGCAGACCAACGTCGCCGCCACGGTCTCCGGCGACACACAGTCCCATAGCTTCTGCGCGCACATGAGCTTCAGCCTGTCCAGCTGGTACATGTCTGCCGCCGCAAGCAAGTGCTGGAGCAAGTCCGTGGCTGAAGAGCCCTCGAGATGTTTGATGAGGTCTGTGTCCGTGGGCACTGTGTCGGTGTACATGAACCGCAGCAGGATTCGGAAAACCTCCGGCTGGACGTCGTGCAGCGTGATGCTGTCCGTCTGGGCGTCCGCCATGGAACCAAAGAGCTGCGCCTTGAAGACCGGCGAGCGAGCGGCGAGGGATGGCCCGGTCGCGCGCAGAACGCCTCGCCGCCAACCGAGAAGGAGACGTCTGAGCCGTCGGTGCACTGCAGCAGGTGTCCGAGATGGTCGCCCAAGTCTGTGGGAGGCACAGGCACACGGTCGTTGCTGTTGAGATCTATGATTCCACATACAAATGTCACGCAGCCATCGACGAGGTAACAACCCAGCTCGAGCTCGCTGCGCTTCATGAACTTCAGCCACCCAATTACAGTTCCACCATTGGAGCCAACACCATGGATCTCGCTTGACCATTTTGCATGGGACAACGATGGTGCTCCGTCTCTTCTCATCGGAAAGGCTTGGAAGACAGCCTTCACGCCGTGTCTGGATTTGCTCTTGGTCGTGGCGAAGAGAGAGAGGTACTCGCCATTGTCGGACTGGTCCTCATGAACCCCACGCGGGAAGCAAACTATCGTCCAGGTGCGCCCTCCGGCCAATAATCTGCCATCAAGGACGCGTCGTTTCGGCAGGTTTTTGGTGGCTGAGTAATCGAGTTTGACCTCAATGAAACTGGTGCCCAACATACTGGCGAAGAATTCCCACTTCCACACACACACAAAAAAAAAAAAAATCCTCAAATCAGTAATGATTGAATAGCACTGTAAATCAGTAAATTCTCACAAATATTTTGCTTTCTAGACTTTTTGTTGCAAATTGCAGCTGGATAAATAACAGAAAAGTTAACAACTCACCTTGTAAATCACTAAATCCTCACTTTCTCAGTTTCTCTGTTGTCTGTCCTCAGCCAGAAACCTAGAATCGCTGGCCTGCCGAGTGCCGACCTGGAAGCAGGAGTCCTGGGCTCGGCTGGCCGCCGCCCCCGCCCACCAGGCCGCAGGTCACCCCTCACCGCCTGGCCGCTGTCCCGCCTCCCACCGCACCGCGCCGCCGCCCCTCGGCCCTGCAGGCTGCAGCCTGCAGCCCTGGGCGCGGAGCCGCGCCGCGGAGGCCATGGTCCGTGCTGCTGCTACCTCTTGCAGCTTGCCGCGCGCGGCGCAGCCTGCTGCTCCCCGCCGCTGCCGCCGCGCCGCCTGGGCCCTAGGGTTAGGGAGTGCGGAGCCGGTGGCGGAGTCGCTTTCGTGAGGAGCGTCCGTGAGGGAGTGAGGGGGCAGGACGCCGGGCCAGCAACGGCGGTGTGGTCGGGTGGAGGCGTGGAGTGGCTTAGTGGGCTAGTGGGCCGGCCTGCGAGGATTGAAGTATGGAAGACAAGCCGAAAGGCCTTTATTTTATTTTTTTTTGCTTTGGGCTACAATGAGCAAAAATATTACGGAATATTATTACACTATACATATTATATGTATCGCAAAAGTTTACACGCGAGGGGTCGCGCTCCACACCGAGCACGCGACGCGGAACGGCAACACGCTCGCGCTTGCGCCCGCGCCGCACCGGAGGGGAAGAAGAGGGGTGGCGATCGAGGCTTGCCGGCATCCACGTCCCTTCGGAGAGGAAGATTGGGTCTGAATTATTTATTTTCTAGCTTTTTTTTGAAATTTTTTCATAAATATATTTCTGGAGGAAAGATTTCAGAATCTGGATCCTGGCGCCGAGCTAACACGTCTCGGCGTCAGCTTCTCTGGCGCCGAGCTCTTGGGTTCGAAGCAAACGTGACGGTGACATAGCAGGAAGCTCAGCGCCAGTCACCCTGGCGCAAGCTCGGGGCCGTAGATCTTAGCGTCGAGCTCGGCGCCTTAGATCCTGGCGCCAGGGTGACTGGCGCCGAGCTTGGGTTTTAACCCCAGCCCCAACCTTCCTGCCCTAGCATTCTTCCTCTTCTTTCTCCTCCCCTCGGGCTTTTTCTCTTCTCATCTCGTCCTACCTCACAAATCGGCATATTGGACCTTGAAAACTTTGATTTGATATATATTAGTCGGATTTTTCAACCTAGGAATCGTCATTACTTAGGGTTTTATTCTATCCCTCAATATTTGTATTATACAACCGTAGGATGATGCTGAGGCGTGAAAAAGCTAGCAAACCTAGGTAACCGCAGTGCTTGTAGTTATGTTATGGGTTAATTGTTGTGCATTAAATGGGAAACCCTAGGTTTAGGGTTTAATGTTAATTGTTTTCGGTTCTTAGAACGAAATTGGTTGTATTGTAGTTATGGTTTCCATTGCATTTATTTGTGATATTTTGATTTTTGTCTGTTAAATTACATCCGTTTTGTTAGATGAAAGAAATGTATCGGGAGGAGTTTTGATGAAAATGGGGTCGTCCTCGAGAATTATACCCCAACGCGTCTTGCAAAGATGCCCCCGTTACTCCTGACCTCACTGTCCCTAACTGTGACTATGGTTTCCTGGCCCACGTTTTTCAATCGAAATATCCGGACACAGCGGCGCGGTGCTTCTACACATGCAGTCGTTTTAATGTAAGAAATTATTTCCACTATTTTTTTCTTTATTTGTGTAAGTATGCTACTAATATTTTATTAGAATCTCGTTGTGTAGCACCATGAGAGGTGCCTTTTCTTTCAGTGGATCGACGGTCTAGATAAGTTTGACCATAGGTACCTCATTTTCAATGATTGGTTTAGACGGAGACATCCACGTGAGCACTTCAAGCGGTGGGTTCCACCCCCCTAATCCTCCGCCAATGACGGCTAAGGAGAAGCACCTAGCCGCAGTTAGACGACTCGAGGAACCTCCTCTGTGCCATTGCGGAGATCGAGCTGTGATAAACCCTGAGAATACGTTGGAGTTTGTGTGTCTAAACAAGCATGAAGTAAGTGCAAAGTGTATGTGTTGAAATATTGAGCTATATGTGTTCATGTACTAATGTCACATTATTTAGGTGTTTTCAATGACGAAGTGTCGTTTCAAGGAGTGATTGTATGGTCCTAAGAACCAATGACCGGAAGAACCGTGAAAGGTTAAGGAAAAGAAGAAAGAAATGGTAATTTACAAAGCACCTCTTGTCATGTGCGAATGTGGTGTTAAATCCAACTATGGCCTAGCCCCTTCGGAGCTTGGAATAGGCCATATGGTTGACTATGATGAGGTTGGTTATTTTTGTGGTAAACATAAAATCGTATTTTGTTTTCTTTTACTAAGACATATATGATATAACTTTTCCTTTGAACGGAGCACTAGAAAATGCAGGTGGGAATGTTATGATGGTCAAGTTAAGTTCTTGGATGAACTAAAGGGGAGGCAAGTAATTGCACGGAAGAAGGGATATAGACCTGACTACGTCAACCTATTCGTTAAATATCACAAAGAAAAGATGCATGAGTTTGCTAGACAGCGTGGTATTTATAACCCGATCGATGTTGGGCTTGACAAATGGGGATTGGAAAGACAGATGATGTTAGAGGAGGTGAGGGCAAAGAAGGAGGCAAGGGAGGAGACAAGAGTACAGCTGCAGGTCATAAACGAGCATGTTGTTGCATTATGTGCCAGTGAGTACTTGAAAGCCTTTTTTCGTTGCCTGATTTTAAATGTAATATAATCAGCGTTGCTAACGGATTGCATTTTATACATGAAGGGATTGGATGCGATGAGGAACATGCCGCAGAGGTGGCTCGTGCAAGTTATGAGGAAAAGAAGTTAGATGAGCACAGATCGTGAGCTGGTCGCACCGTTCAATCACCGATTGTGTTGTCTAATGAGGGAGACGAGGATGAAGACGACACTAATAGACCGAGTGAGCCCATAACTCTAGCAGAGGTAGGCTTACAAATCGAGGGAGGCCGAGGACGACACCGGCAGATGGAAGCGAGCTCATCGCTCTAGCAGAGGCGGGCTTGCGAGCGGATGAGGCCGAGGACGACACTAGCGGTCAGGCGAGCTCATCGCTCTAGCAGAGAGGCGGGCTTGCAAAGGAGGAGGATGACGACATATTCTTCACTCGAGCCCACGAAGCCGTAGATGAAGCAGAGGCCGCTTTTACAAAGCGACCGGCTGTCGAGAGAAATGCAGTGAGTCTAGCCACAACAGCAATGGGTTGTGGTAGAGGACCGGTACTCGGATGATGAGTTGCTTACTCGGTATGTTTCGAGATCGATGATTTGTAAGTGCATTTACCCCCTATGTCACTGTCGTCACATACTTGTAGTATTATTATGTTGTTTAATGTTGTGTAGTATTGAACTTTTCATTATGTGGTTGTTTTCATTATTTGTGGTCATAATATTCAGCTTAATATTATAGACATATTGAAATGTGATCACGTGCTGCAAATAAAACCTAACGAAGTAGGGCATTATAAAATTCAACACATAAAACACATGAAAAGGTATGTGAGAACATGTACCGAACTAGGGTACAGAGTTCCTTTGACTAAACCTAACATGCCTTACGTAATTAAACCAAACAATAAATACAAAGATGTGGCATGTGAATAAGATAAAGTTGTCCTAATAGTGTGGCCACATAGTAAATTGTGCTGCACCTTCTCCAAAGTAGCCTCCCATTGTTGGTGGTGGTGGCGGCGGCGGAGGACCCTTGTTTCTGTGATTAGGGCAGGTGCAATATAGATCATTGTAGAGTGCCTCCTGTGAACTGGCACCATTGTTGTCGTCTTCCTATTCGTCGTCTTTATAACCACTACTAACTTTTCTTTCTAGATCGAAGATACGGTCCTGCATGTAGTAGATGTACTCCGCATGCGGATAAATAGATCGAGGATCGACCCACCTAGTGAAACTACAGTTTTCTTCGACCAAGGAAGACTGCAATAAGTATGTCGTGTAAGTTGTATAGAAGAGGAACATATTGAAGAAAGAAATACTAATAGCAATTACCCATGCTCATGGGCATTTGAAGAAACGACGACATCCATCTATTCCCTCGGTGAACATCTCACACTAGGCAGTCCTCACCATGCATGCATTTGGGCCATTCTTCTTTTAGTTCATTGTATCCTCTCATTGGTGCCTCTTTGGTGAAATCGCTTTTTACTCTCAACTGGGAACCTCTCATAAAGAGCATTCTCAAAGAAATCGGGACCAAGAGGACCCTCCCACCTAATGGTTGTTCCCTTCCCCTTTCCTCTCTCTGACGACCCTTGAGACATTATTCTTTGTAATGAAAGAAAATCTTTGAGGAGTGCTCTTCTTCCTTATTGTGTGTGTGAATGAGAGGGTGAGGGGTTATTTATAGGTTGAGAGGAGGAATGGGCGCCTCTCAATGTGCCATGTCAACGATCCGTGTGCCTCTTCACCTCAAATTTCTTAGATCAAACAGGTCATAAGATGGATGGTGGAGATGGAGTGGAGTTGTGCCTCCTTGCATGCCAAGATCTTGTGTCGGTGAAGTGATAAATCGGTCTTTGTCCTTGTGGATGAAAAGTCTATTTTCATTGCTGAAAAGCTCAGTATTCGTTCAATTGTTACTTGAAAAGCCTAGATTCATCTGAAAACCCTTTATTCGTTCACTATTGTGGTAGAGGACTGGTACTCGGATGATGAGTTGCTTACTCAAAGATTTTTTGGGCCCGAGGATTTGTAAGTGCATTTGCCCCTTTGTGGTTTTTGGTGTATTGATGATATCTAAATTAGGGACTAATGTGATCTTAATGAGATATGTCGCAGCTATTACTCGGTATGCGCTCTCCAATGGTTTTATTTTTGTTTTTGAGTTTATGATCCACCGCACTATAAAGAGGGATGCAAACTTAGTTGGTCTGAGGAAGATAGAGTGCTCAAGCATAAAATTAAATCAAAAGAGACACTCTAGCAGTCCACGAGCATGTAGAATATTTTTCAGTGACTGTTGGTGTCGGAAGTCTCGACGTAAGCCGGAACTCCCGACAGTCAAAAGTCACGACTCATGCTGCGAAGTCCCGACACCCAGATCATTTAGCTTCTTGCAGATGGCCGTGGTAGTCGTCGGAAGTCCCGACATGAGCCGGAACTTTTGACAGTCGGAAGTCTCGACCCAAGTGTGTACGATACGATTGGACTATACATAATAAAAGTTATGCTTCCTTGCATGCGAGTACTATGTCA